CAAGTTGAGGAATTTAGACATTATTCCATTAGCAACTGTAATATGTTGTAGCTTTTGAACCATGCATTTGAAAGGAGAAGGGCTGTGTTTTAGGTAGATCAATATTTTGGTGCTGTGCTAGAGAGATAACAACCATGTTGTAGATTTTCTGTTCTATGAGGCAGGAATACAATATATTGCTTTTTAAACAGGAATAATAATTTAATTTCTTGTGTAGGTGAAACTGTAGTAATATAAAGCCTTTTCTAATGAAGGCTTTTATTGGATATGAAAATTTAGATACTTATCCTTCTTAATTGTTCAAAAGTTGACTGTGAGACTGTGCAAGTAGGTTACTGCTGTTATTAGAACTGTTATAAAAGACGGCTATTTTAAGCAAATAGAACAATCACCTGTAATGCTTATGCCCTCAACTGATGAAAGGCCCAAAGGAAAGGAATTCAAATTCATTTTCTTTATCACTTAAGCATTTTCTGAGAAGAGAGCATCAGTTTAAAGCCTAAGGAAAATGAAAATAAGTAACACTTAGCTCAGTCCATATAGTTGGTTTTTATGAACTAATGAATTTGGAATAAATGTAGTATGATATGGCACTATCCCTGATTTGCTCACTAAGCTTAGGCAAGGAACAGATTCTTGGTGCCTCAATTTTCCCTTCTGTAGGACTAGGATAATATGCCTGTTTTACACATCTCACATGATGGTTCTGAGAATCTTTTCAAATGGTTATTTTCAAATCATATAGCCACACCATTGGATAAAGGTGAGTTCCATTTATGTATTATCTTCTTTTTACCCTTATAAAGTCTTTAAGTTTTCATTTGGTGCAAATGCAGTACAGTAATGAAAATGGTTTCTTCACATTTGGAACAAATTTCAATACTTCAAATGAAACAAAGTTTGTAGTATAAATATATTTCAAATGATTAAATACTAATTAGTTAGTTACTTGCACTTGACAAATAGTTGCAAACTAATTACTCTTCTAACATTATAAGAATAACTTAGAAACATCTATAAATGACCTGGCTTTGATGTTAAGGCATTAAAAAAAAGATGATATTTTTAGTGTTCAGGGAGAGAATATCCATTCATTTATTCAACAAATGTTTTAGCCCCTATTATGAACCAGACATTATTTTAGACAATGGGATACAGCAGGGTATAAAGCAGACAATAATTGTAGCCCTAACTGTGCTTTCAGAATAATTGTGTTTTCCTTATTCTCTTCAATTGCATTTTAATACTTTAAAAATAAATGTTTGGAAACTTGTGATGGAACAATATGTGGCAAAATGCATGTTTTCTAGTCTATCTGCATGAGTCCACAGAGCCACTGATGATTTCTATTTGCTCATGAAAGCTGATGCTTTTGGTCCTATGTCTGCATATATAGTTATAGACTAATTAATCAGACCAATAAAACAATTGAATGTGTATTAAATTTGGCTTACTTTAGTTCTTTTAAAATATTTTGTTTACTTTGTTAATCATGTTTTATAATAATATTTTGAGTTTCTAATATTTTGAGTTTCTAAAAGAAAGAGATTTTATTTTATAATTTTTATTGCCTTTGCTTCAGAGCACAGAGTTCTAAGAAGATATAGCAGTTTCCCTCTTGATTTAAGCAATGTACAAACAAAATTGGATAAAGAAACTGAAAAATCTCACTAGGGCTTGAGTTATCTTGTGAGCCCATGAATTAAATATAAGAATATAAGAAATGTCACACTAGATTAAATTAATTGTCCATGGAACATGTTATTTTATGGAAAAGCATGGTATTCGCTCTCCACAACATTGATCTACTTGAACATAATTATATTTCCTTAGTAAGACATTATATATCAATTTTCGACAAATCAATTTTCTACAAAGACCTTCTTTGATCCCATTTCTATTTTCAGTGAGTACTACCTCTTCCGTTATGAGTCTATTACCTCTTGTGTATGCTTCACTTCCATATTCCAATGACTGTATAAACTACTTTTCAAGACACCCACTAGAGTACACTGTAATTTGGAATATGTGATTAACCTATTCATCTCTTTCTTTTAAAAAAATCTTATTCTTGCTCACATTGAAAAGTATAAATTTTTAACTGATTTTATGTGGAAAATTTTACATCCTTTTGCTTATTTAAAATCTAGACCAGTTCCTCTATGATGTCCTTTATGATTGGAGAGCAATGAAAATTGTGCATACATTCCTTTTTTTTTTTTAAAGATTTTATTTTTATTTGAGAGAGAGAATGAGAGAGAGAGAGCACATGAGA